TGTTGGAGTCAGAGATAACACAGTGTGGAGCTGGATGAACACAGCAGGCCAAGCAGCATCAGAGGAGCAGGAAAGTTGATGTTTTGGGTCGGGACACTTCTTCAGAAATTGGGTCCTGACCCGAAACGTCAACTTGCCTGCTCCTCTGATGCTGTCTGGCCTGCTGTGTTCATCCAACTCCACACTGTGTTATCTCTGACTCCAACACCTGCAGTTCTTACTATCCCAGACAATTACAAAGATGTTTTTACAGATATTGGATGGCCTCCTGCTGAATATCCTCATGAAATAGTTGAGAAATTAAGGCCCACTAGCATCTGGTGAGGAGAGTTCCAGCTGCCGTTAAGTCTAGCTTGAAAGACAAGATCGAAGAGCTGGAAGAGAGTAATCAAGTGACACCTCCTCCAGACTGAATTAGCAGCAAGGTAGCAGTGGCAAACCCTGGAAAACTCAGCATGTGTATTGATCCAAAAGATCATGATGAAGCTTTGAAGAGATTTCACTACTCCATAGCAACTATTGAAGAAATGTTGCTGGAAGTGATCTGGGCAAAGGCCTTTACTGCTCTCAATGTGAAGGGTACTTATTGGGAAGTGAAGCTGGATGAAAGCAGTTTTCTAACTACGTTCAGGAGATACAGATGGTTGCGCATGCCGTTTGGAATTTCCCCTGCTCCAGAAGATTATCAACGCAGATTGCAGGAGATAGTGATATTCCTGGCATGGAAGCTGTTGTGGATGATCTTCTGGTCTATAAATGTGGAGACCCGATGGAAGAGGCAATCGCAGACCATAATCAGGATCTCTTGCGACTGCAAGAGAGAGGGCGTCAAGATGAACCTGAAGCTGAACAAGAAAAAGATGCAAAACAACCAAAGAACTGCAGATGCAGGAAATCAGAAACAAAAGCAGCAATTGCTGGAAAATTTCAGCATGTCTGGCAGCATCTGTGGTGAGAAAGCAGAGTTAACATTTCAGGTCCAGTGACCCTTCTTCAGGTTGTTAACTCTGCTTTCTCTCCACAGATGCTGACAGACCTGCTGAATTTTTCCAGCAAATTCTGTTTTTGCTTCTGATTTCCAGCCTCTGCAGTTCTTTCATTTTATTTTGTTGTGGTAAGTGACAATGGCCTTCAATTCATGACAAAAAGATTCAGCTACTTCATAAAATACCAGGTGATCCAACACCACATATCATCTTCCAAGACAATTAGAAAGGCTGAGGTGGCAGTGAATCAAAGCAATCCTTGACTAGAGAAATACACCTGTGAAAGGCATGCAAATTAGTTGGGTTCAAAAACCAATATTTTGTCGGACCCTAGCTACTGTTCCAATCACACGAAACAATAGAAGCCAGAAGTAGGAACAAGAATGAGTGACAAAATCAAGGTGAAATGACAGCTAAATTTCACTTTGCTAAAACTGCCAAGTCATTGCCAGAGCTGAGCATTGGAAGCCAGTCAGAGTGCAAACATTCAACACTCTGAATAGAAGTAAGCCCATAAGGCAACATGGTACATGTGTAGAACAGTGGTCACCTTTGTTGTATGTCGTGAATGTGGATGACCAGATATATATTCACTGCCACAGAAAGGGTAGTGGAGTCGGCCTCATTAGGGGCATTTAAGCGGCTATTAGATAGGCATATGGATGATAGTATAAGGTAGGGATGGAGGTTAGATAGACCTTAGGTTTAGGGTAAAAGTTCGGCACAACATCGTGGGCCAAAGGGCCTGTACTGTGCTGTACAGTTCTATGCTCTATGTTCTATGTCAAGATGTATACATACAACTGTGCCTCACAACAGAGAGAAGATGAGGAAAAAGTGACCTCAGCATCTGCAGTGCAGAACAATCTTCAGTCCCAGAGGTCCACTGTTTGTGAGCAACAGAAATGGATCAGCAACCAGTTAGCACTTGCCAAAGGTATGGCACACCCCAGGAAATGAATACCACCAAAGAAGCAAGCAGATACCAGCCAACGATAACACATACCGTAAGGAGACCTGCATGATTTAAAGACTATATATGCAATACATATTCAAAGACCAGTGAAAATGAGACTGATTAGAATGAACGTGGTCTCATAAATGAATGATAATTTTCTATGTGGCCAAGGAGATTAGGTAAATCATCAAACACGTAACTGCAAATGAGAGGGCTTAATTTTTTTTATGAAAAGGGCAACGATTGGAGAAATGCAAATGAACTGTATAGTCATGTGACTCATCATCCAGGTAGAGACCTTTGTGTGCAGACAGGGACAGACATTGATACATTATTCGGAACAGGCTCCAATCAGATAATACCACACTCACTGTCTGTCTGCAATACCCAGTGGTGTGCTCACAACAATGCTTGGGATGTTGTCAAAGATGTTTCCAACATAATTGGCCCTAATTTCAAGGCAGGAAGAGCGGCAAAATCAGGTGAAGACGCAGAAATGCAGGATCTCTACTACTTGCAAAGTAAAGTTCCTGGAACACTATGTCCATTAAATGCTGTCAGGACAGGGACATCACAGGGTTAGATACAAAGTGAAGCTCACTGCACTGTTTAAAACTGAAGGTAAACCTCCCACAAAAATGTCACCATCGAACACTCCTAGGAGAGAGACACCATGGGGTTAGATACAGAGAAAAGCTTCCTCTACTCATATAAACTGAAATTAAAGCATTCT